AAAATTATTGTCTCGGGAACCAAGAAACCTAGGAGGATTAAATTTTATGGGCAGGACCTAGCCCACGTGCGACCCAAAAAATCTAAATTCAGCTTTCCTTTGCCTGCGGATAACACATACGGTCTCGTAAAAAATTTTGGCCGGGAAAATTGTTATTCCGGGAAACATGGAAGCTAGGAAGCTGAAAATTTATAGGTATGTCTCCAGCCTGCGTGCAACCCAGAAAATTTAAATTCAGCTTCCCGTGCCGCGGATAACATGCACAGCTTCATAAAAGTTTTGGCGAGTAAATTATTATCCTGAGAACCACGAAGTCTAGGAAGCTGAAGTTTTACGGCAATAACCCCCTGTCCACGTACGATCTCGCAAATTCAAATTCAGCACTCCCAAGCTCTCAAGTACCACCTACGACTCCGTTTTAAACTTTTGGCAGGTAACTATTACCTCGAGAATCACGGAGTTTAGCAGGCTGAGGTTTTGTGGGTATTTCTCCTACCCACGTACCACCTTTCAGATTTAAATTCAGCCTTCCCATGTCTGCGGCTACCACTTGTGGCTCTGTGAAACTTTTGGCGGGTAAATTATTGTCTCGGAAACCACGGAATCCAGGAACCTGAAATTTTGGCGCACGACTCCGCAAATTCTTATCGTCCCCTTGAAAGTTTTGGTGGGGAAAATCATTATCTCGGGAGCCAGAAGAGCTAATGAGGCTGAAATTTCAGGAGTATATTTCCCGCCTAATCAAAGGCTTCACAAACTCGAATTCAGTTGTTAATTATGCCAAGGTCTCACGTATAACCACGTAAAAGTTTCGTCGCAGAAATCACTCGGGAGCAGAAAGTAAGGAATTTGGAAAATTTTCACCCTTCGAGGTTTCAGATTCAACCCTCATATGCCGTTGCGTGAAATTTTTAGTGGGAAATTCCGCAACTTTTAAATTATTGTTGCACAGACCAAAGTGCAAAGTAGTGAAAATCATTAATAGTCAATCGTTCGGTGGACGGAACTGCACAAAATGCATGGTCGTACCGGCTGTCCTGGTGTGCGTCGCTGTTTTTCTAAGATTGCTGTGTTGAATCGTAAGCGCTGCGTCGCAGAGACAAGATTTCCAGTTCACCTTACTATTGTATCCAGTTCTAGTCTCGAGCTCCTGGCTTCTGTCCTCGTTTCCCTTCACTATTCTGCCGCCGAAGCAACATTCTTTCTTCACCAGCCCTAGGTAAATGTACTCCCCAGCCAACCATTTCCCAGTCCCTGTCCTACACCAGGTCTCCGTGGCCCCAAACCAGCACCACGTCCCTCGCCCCCCTCCCCACTTACCACTCCTCAAATCTGCGTCACTCAACCACTAAACCAATAAACTAGTGCACACTGCACAGCCCAGCTGAGTTTAGCGCAGCTGCCTATTCCAGCTCGGTCTCTGCCCTGAACTTTTACATCCCAAACCCGCACTATACCGCCCCTCTTTCCCGCCTATCCAGCACCTGAGGGTCCATATTGCGCGGCCGAAGCGAGTTCTCGTAGCTGCCTCTCCCCTGCCCGAGCATCTACAGTCGACATGCCTACAACACATTTCCCCGCATCCCCTCTTCTGCCAACTTAAACTCAAGCAATCCCAGCGCCTAAGGTAAGGCTCCCATCAAAAGACTTAGTCGCTGCATTGCATAGCTACAGAAAATGCATAATAGCAGTTTTCGCTCGGATCCGCTTAATGCACGGGTCCGAGCAAGACCGGACCAAGCCGAATTTTAGTAGCTGCAGTAGTGATGCAATTCTCGAGCATTGTAAAGAACAGGGAAGCGGCTGAAGG